GCTTGGTCCTGTCTGGTTTCTACACCCGTCCAAATTTCTGCCTCGCTAGGTTGCCCTCCGGTGTTTATTCTCTCCGCTGTCACGGCCTTGTCTGAGATCTTGTAGTATAAGTTGCCCTTTACAAGAACCGAGCTGTTCTCGGAGCTCTTCCAGTTCAAAAAAGCTCCAAACCCTTCCTCATTTTCCTTTCCATCCACTGTACAAAACTTGCAAAGTGCCTTGGCTTTTGTTGGAGTATATTTGATTAGCTAAAATTGGCTAATTATTGTAAAATACACCTTTGATCCTGCTGCAGATGCGTGCAGCTTTGAAGTAATGTTCCTGTAAGTTCCTAGTTTGATCTTCACTGAAATGCTCTAACCTGTTTTTCTAGGAGAATTATAACTATGAAGGTTCTAAAATATTTGATGTAAGAGGAAGGTACTGTTTTTTTCAAATGCGAGTGCAGTATTTTTCACAATAGAGCAATCAAGAAAAAAAGCATCTCTGACAAAAGCTGCCCTGGTCCAGTAGTAGAATGAACACAATTAAAAGCACATTGGAGTAAGACTTGTCTTAAGTTCCCATGTATATCTGAAGTCATAGTACTAATAATAAGATTTTTCCCTGTGGTTTGGCTAAGGAGGTGTTTTATCTTCCATATTTTTCTTGTACATTAAAAGTATTTCTAGCAATTATAAAAATAGGTTAATCTTTATAAAAGTACTTCTACTGTTGGACCATTATTCTGATTTTCATTTAGAAAGAATACAGTACATAATAATGAATCAGAAGGACATATGTAGTAACTGAGATACTTAAGCAATGTTTGCCAAGGATGACCCTTTTAAATTGACACTTTCAGTTTCATTCATGAGTTCTGAGAGTTGTCTGGCCAGCAGTTTGTGTAAAGTTGGTTTTGGTGAACTGGCATTCCTCCAGTTTTCTGGAACTTTCCTGATTCATCATCCAAAATGGGAAATTGGCATGGCCGATGGAGCTGTAGGTCACTTTAGTGCCTGTTGTAAGTAAAATTAATGAAGGGATTGTTACGAGTTTCATTTGCTTATCCCTCCATGTCAATACATCTATCTGTGTGTGTGTGTGTGTGTGTGTTTGTTTAAAGACCTTCTCAACTGAGGCTGACTTCATTCCTTCAAGAGATTATTAATCTGATTGATAAAGGAAGCTACTTAAATGTGATATACCTAAAGTTACGTGAAGCAGCTGACATGAAATTGTATTAGCCCCTGTGATATGTACTTAATTTGGGCTGATTCAATATAAATAAGGTGGAATTTTAAGTCAATTGCAAATTAAGTAATATTTCTGTAGTTTTCTGGGGGTTTGGGGAAGGAATAATTCTATTATGTTTATTTCACTATGTTCTGTAACTTGTGTTACATCAACTTGTCATAAAATTTTTTATTAACCTGAAGATTAGCAGCCATTAATGATAAGGGTAAGTAGTCATGTAAAGGAACTGCATTGCTTGTTAAGCTGGTAGTGTGTTTTAAATAGACCAACTGAAAAGTTGTGTAACTAGTGTCAAACTTCTAAGTTTGTTCCATTACAACTAATTTAAGGGACAGAAATACTCTAAAAAGAATGTTCTGCTGCTAACATCTGATACTCAGATTATTAAAAGCTATACTTGCTACCGAATGCAATACGTACAAAGGCAAAATTTTGTTGGCAAGGAAGCTTAACCAGTATTACCATAGTATATCCTTCATTAGCTCTTTGTTGTTTTCTCTCTTCTGATCCAGGTGTATCTGCATTTGTAGAAGTTTGGTCATCTAACAGAACAGAAAATTACTCGAAAACCTTTGAACAGCAACTTCTTGATATGGGAGCAAGAGTAAGGAAACTATTTTGTTTTAAGTAGAGTAGGAAAGCCACGTACAAACCAGCTTGCTTGTTCTGCTTGTCATGTATATTTCTTTGTAATATGAGTTTTTAAAGTGCAGGAAGGATGATAATCACAGACCTGAGAATAGATGAACGTGCTGTAAAATTCTTATTTGTGACAAATAGGAAATGCGTTTAAAGTCTCACTATATCTCTATCTATAAACCTCTCTGTATATTAATATGATAGCATGCCTTTGTTGTGAAGTATTGGGCTTGCCACATACTGTGGGCAAACTGAATCTAAGTGTTGAAAACCTGTGGTTTACAAGTTATGTACCTTATGTTGTTTTGTTTTCTTTAACTTGTAGGCAGCTGCTCTGTTGTTACTACAATATTTTCTAACTCAAGTACCATGACATTTTATTCTTCCATTCACTCTCCTACAAATGTGGTTCAGCTCCAAAGTGCTAGTAAAAATACATCTAAGAGTCTTTGTATATGTCTCAGTGTTTTTTTTCCATATCAAGTAGGTGCAAAATATATTTAATTTAATTATGTTTAATATGTTTAATTGCCGGCTGTAAAATTTCAATCAAAGACCAAAGTCAAACTGGCATCTTTCCTTTTTGCACATTATCACTGGTTAATGGAGGTTCTTACAGCCCACATCATGCTCTAAATAACACTTGTGTAAACTCCCGTGCTTTTTAAGTGGGTGTGTAGGTGTATCTTACTGTGATTTAGGAAGTTTTGGTAATCTCCCCAAAGCCTTTTTTTTCTGTATGAATTTAGCTGAGATAGCGTGACAGAACAGTAGAATAACTTTTTATGATAAAAGCAAATACAGTGCTCAATAAATAATTTGAGTAAGAAATATTTCTTGTTCTTTTGTGCTGTACCAGCAGATCTGTGGAATCCTGATGATGTTAGGTTTTTCTCACAGAAAATATGACAAAGCATGAGGCTTCAAAATTCCTCAAGTTGATCAAAAAGTAGCTGGATATGGTGAAAGGTGTAGGCAGATGATGCAGATGAGTCTATTTAGCAGATCTCTGTGAGTGAAAAGGGGTGGTCCTGCCCCTTCACTATTCCAGACACTTTCTTCCCTTTTATTGGGCTGAGCACATGATAGTAAACTGACATGGCTCACTCTGTCAGGAAAGAAAATTCTAAATTAGTATGGCACTAGGTTGTTGGTTCAGACATCTCAAGCTAAGGCCAGGTGAGCAGCAGAGGACGTCCAGGGTAAGGGAGGAGACAGGAGAGGTGAGAGGGAGGTGTAAGGTGGTACTCCTCTATAATTTGGAGACAAAGCTATATTAAGCATCTGTCTCCTTAGGACATAGGCTGTGAGCCAGATACTAGCATAAGCAAGTAAGCAATTGTATCTGGAGTCATAGAGAGAGATTCATTGGTCCTGTATACCTAGATACTTAAATATCATGGTTTTTTGTCTTCCGGGAAGCAATAAATCAGTTTGCCACCAGCAATTTTTGGAAAAGCTGAATGGTTTTCTTAAAGCCAAATATAGATCCAACACGCTGGGAGCCAAGTACAGTGATGCAATTGAGAGCACAACAGAAAGCTACACAGCTATTTCCATTTGGCTGTGCTAAGAAGATGCTGCTGTAAAATATGAATTGTACCCATCTCATCGTGTCAACAATCACAACAACTGATCAAACAGTTTTATGCATAGGATGTTTAGTCTCCACAAAAGGAAACTTTGGTTTTGAAGAATGGAGTATCTAGAACTAAAAAGGTTATCACTTAAATAGAGTCCAATAACTGAAGAGTTGATCAGTTGTAGAACACAATGAAAATGTCAGGTATGACGTTAGCTGTACTGACTTAAGTTTTCTGTATTTCTCACTTTTTAAAGTGTTCCCATTTTTTTTGTTTGTTTCTAGTAGCTTCAGTCTTCCCTCAAAACTAAAAGTGATCTTTATTGATGAGAATTAGTTTAAAGGATGAGGTTAGCTGTACTCTTTAAGCCTGTGAGTTCTTTGCTAAATAAAAAATGTAATTTGTCATTTCTTTGGATAGTGGCAACTACTTTTTGTACTGGCTGCTGCATAAGAAATTATGTTGGGCTACATAAATAAAAATGTTGTAAGATTAGTGATACAGCTGGAGTAGGGAGATGAAAATGGTAACCTAGAGAAAACAAGTTTGAAAACAAAAGGCTTCTCTAGCCCTCTAGCATGCATTGCATTGACTTGACTAATGAGACTTGAATATTGATTGCTTGAGGCTTCTTGAGAAGATGAGAAAGATCAAAGGAGTCCTTGACATATTGTTTAGAATAAGTTTTTATGCTAATGGTTTATGCATTAAAACCAGACTACACTAGCTAGTTTCATTAGCATTTTCTGATTATCAGATGTTCTCTCTGTGTACTTCTGCAGGTTTCAAAAACTTTGAACAAGAATGTGACCCATGTAGTCTTCAAAGATGGACGTTGGGCTACATGGAGAAAAGCACAGAAGAGGGGTGTAAAAATAGTTTCTGTACTCTGGGTGGAGAAGTGAGTACTCGTGAATATAATGAATGCTACCCATTCCTGAGATAATGGATTCTAGTATTGTTTTATTTAAAAATTTAAGTATAGTACCTGTTTTCTTAATGTATTTGAAATAGTGATAAATCTATGAGTAGAAGATAACTTTCCTATGACATTATTCCTATTATTAAGCATGTTACTTGCATAAAAAGGTAGAATGTTAACTCTTGAAAAATGAATGTGTTGGAGTAGTTCCATAGTATATTTGTTAACCATTCACTGTTCCACTCCTTGGCTCTCAAATGGCTTGCATAGGCAGTGAAGACCAGATATTTATGTTGAATAGAATTCTTCCATTTTCATATGAAAAAGCACATTTCATCAGGGACATTGTACTGTTTCTCTGCTTAACTCCTGTTGACAGAATATCTCCTAGCAAGAAAGAAAAAGATCCGTATGTAGTCTGGCTTTTAAGACATTTGGCAGGTTCAGAACAGCACTGCTTGAAGATTCTCGACTACCATATGGAAAAAGTTAAATTTAAAAAAAAAAAAAAAAAAAAAATCAAATTTCAGCTGTGCAGCCAGTCCATGAGAATTTACTAGTCAACAGCTGCTTCTCTGAGTTTACAAAGTGGTTGTGAGGCCTAACTTAGATTTCAGATGAAGTGTAAAAACACTTACAGTGTTTCAGAATATGCATGTGTTATACTCAAACACTCCAATTGATAAATTTCTGTGATGATGGAAATGAGAATTTAAGTCAAGTAAAGAGGCCCTTTCCTGTACCAATTGTAATATGCATGGAGAGATAGAAGTCTGCTAAGTGCAAAAGTAAAAAATTAAAAAAGGGGGGGAGGGGCAAAACTGAGCTCTGCAGCCACTTAAATGTAGGCCAGTACAACCGCACAACTTATGATACAAGTCTGTTGGCCAAAAAAGAAATCCATGCAGTTCTGCAGAAACAGGATTTTTCTTTTTTTTTTCTTTAAGAATATCAGATATAGAAGTTACAGCTGCACAATGCAGCCAGCTTTAACACTGAGGAAGAAATAGCTTAAGTTCTCAAAACTGAGGGTGATGCAAAATTTTTTTATGTGAATATGTCTTTCCATGACCTGGTGCTATCTGGGTGTGTGAGAATGATGATCATTTCAGTTCGAATCTTTGGTTATAAAATTAAGCATATGCTTCAGATGGCTAAATGTATAAATACAGAATTTGAAGCCTTAGTCACAGGAATTGTAAACTATTTGAGGACTTTGGATGTGCTATAGTAAACAGGATCCCGGAAAAGTCCAGGTGAGTAGCATCTGCAATAGAAGAAGGAGAGCGCCTTGCTTGGGAGAGTGTAGGATGTGTCAGAAATGCTGTCTCTGTAATAGCAGTTCCACCCCAAGAGTCTCTTCTGCGATACTGGAAGGTATTGAGTGGATGAATGGTGTAGAAAGCTCAGAGACAGCTGGATATGTGATAGTGTATGGGACAGCATGGAGCTTTGAGATCCAGGTGTAAAAGGTTCAAGAAGCTTTAACTGTTGCTGGATACCAGCAACAAAGGAAGAGACAGGAGAAAGGATCTGGAGGGAAAACTTAACCTGTTTGGTAGGAAAGAGAAGGCTAGCATCTTCCTGGTATTTTTTGAAGTGTTCCAAGTATCATGCTCTAGATAAGGTGCTCTAGATAAGGCAAGGTCTTGCTGTATGGCTTAGAAGATGAAGTTTGTTGGAACTGGGGAGATCATCTGAAAGAGAGAGATGTATTTTACTGTGGGGGGAGGGGACACCCAAGCTATGAATTGTGATTGAACTTCTCTGTAATCTTTTTCTTCTGCCTTTTAGTTTAAAGTTAATGCCAAAAGGTACGCAAGAGCATACAACTTAGATTAATGTATACCCTAGGCAGAATTTATAGGAATATCGTACCCTTGAGCAAAATATAGGTCAGGAGCAGTAGAAGCTTATGTAAGAGATAGTAATGAATAGTCTCACTAGTCATAGTGTTATTCAAATATGAGGCACAGACAATACAAAAATAAAATGAGTCTGTGCTAGCATACATGCTAAATTTTATTGTAATAAGAACTGGAGTGCCTGACTTTAAATTATATGCCTAGTATATCAATATCTCAGAAATTTGGTAGGCAGAAGACAGTTTGTTGAACCCTGGGACAATGTAAACAGGAAGGACTGAATAGTCTGTGCCAGTAACATAGTGGTCCTGTATGAATGGAAGCTTAGTTTGAAACTGGTAACTGTAAGTAAATAACACAGAGTTCATATGAGTTGAAGTTTTAGCGTTACTAAAAAAAAGATGGCTTGATTAACCAGTCGCTATGTTTATTAGCAAGTGAAATGTTCTCAGAATGGTCAGAAATGCTGTGAAATGTCATTTCGGGAAATGTAATAGTACAGAGCAAGTTTCTCACGTAGACTGGGGATTGGGTGACTCCTGTTGGAGTGCAGTGTGAAGACAAATATTTTAAGTATTTCTTGGTCTTAATTGGTTTGTGGATGGTTGTTCAAATTATTTCAAAGAACCTTCTTGTAAGTATGGCCACAGTATAAAATCATGTTTGTACTGGAATAGCAAAACCCAAAAAGTTCTGTGACAGTGCTGAACTTCAAAAAGGAGTCTACTTAAAATGGAATAAGTTCTGTTAAGAAGCCACTAAGATAGTGAAGGGAATAAAACTCTTGCTGGTGTCAAGGAGCCTATTTAAAGTATAAGTCCTCTTAAGTGTATCAGAAGGAGGATGGTCATCACATTGTGTGAGGGGAAAATTAAGATTTTGGGACTTAGAGTAAATGTTTTCATGGCATTACTACCTCAGCAGTAGTCAAAAATCAAATTAAATAGAACATAAAACCTCATGTAGTGGGATGACAGCATTTTATCGTGGAATATTGCGAGAGGATGGCAACAAGCATAACTGAAGTTGTAAGATATTTTTCTCAAAAGATGTGATTGAAGAGACCAGAGTTCTTCAGCCTGGAAAAGAAGTGGGAGTGGAGGGGGAGAGACTCTTATGAACACAAAGGTTGATACGGAGTGGCTGAATAGGGAATGAAGGTACATTTTCCTTTCCAGTAGAAGAATTGGAAAGGATCACATGAATCTGTCTGTAGGCAGATTCATAGAAAACAGTAAATGATGGTTTTTAGCAAAATACGGTTAGGCTGTAGAACTCCTTGTTGCAGAATTATAGTCAGCAAAGATTTACATGGGTTTAAAAAAATGCTGAAGCAATTAAACATTTAGTTTTATCAAAAACCAAATACAGTATTGCATCTGACCATCTTTAAACCAGAAATCTGTGGAACATAGCAAAGCAAACTGGGAATGTTTGCTGTGTTTTCATGTTTTTAGATGCTCTTGGGAATCTTCATATTGGAAACAGGATGCTGCAAGTATATGGTATTTAATCTGGGCACTACTTTTTGATGTTTGAGCTCTGAAAACACCAGACAAGGAAGCAAATCATAAACAATTAACTCCAGCATTTCCTGATTCTTCTGCGTTGTGCCAAATACTCTCCCGCTTAACAGCTAGTGGACCCCTACTTCCAAAGTGTTATGCGTGTACACTACAGTTACCTTCCCTGGAGCAGTGCTTGAGCCTCTTGGAGGACCATGCCCTATAATTTGAAAAATTGCTATAATATTTTCTCCACAAAAAAACAGCACAAATTTAATTAGACTACAAGTGTTTGTGCAGTATTTAGTGAACATTACCTTGCTCAACTCTTATTGGATTTCCAGTGCTCTTTCCAATGATCTGCCTCAAACTTGTATTGGAAGCTTCTGCTTTATAGTATGAGTGTCTATTTGAATTTAAACTGAATGCAGTTCTACAGTTTAATAAGAAGTAATTTGATTGGGAAGAAGGGTCTTTTAAAATAAGATGACAATTGAAATAAAAAAAAATTTGTAACTACAGAGTAAATGTATATTTAATTAAAAAAATGAAGTGTTTTGTTTCCTTTTGTTTTCTAAGAACGGTAGATATGTTTAACTTTAAAAATAGTGTACAAAATCATGGACTTGCTGTAAGATTAATGCAAATAAATGGTAAGCTTAATGCAAAATGAGTGACAGCTTAGGGATCACTGAAAAAAAAAATTTTAGTCTTTCTTCAACTCGAATACCTCAATGAGCAACCTAAAAAAAAAAATCAAAACCCAACAACAAAGAGAACACTACATAAGATAGAATTGCTACAATCTGCGTCCAAATTAAGAACACTTAATACTTCCAAATCAGACCCATAATTGGGAAACTACCTGTGTATTCTTAGTATGGTAACTGACTCATGTCACAAATAAGATAGATAAATCATTTACATTCAGATTTGTCTGCAAAGTAAAAAATTCTTATAAGATATTGAATGGCCAAATTTTCTTCTGTTTAGTTTCTCTGAATCGATGAAATCTCTGAATTAATGTAGATTTTAATGTAGTCCACATCTATGCTGATTATTATCCAGAATTTAATAATAGGCGCTGAAGTCCAACGTGTTGAATATCATCTCTATTAGATGCTCCAGAGAACTCTAAACTCAGTTAGTGTGACAAATATATGTAGTGGTTTGGCTCATCTTTATTCAACACTGAGAAACTAAGCATTAGATTATAATTCTACAGATACAAACTTTATAGCAGTTAGATCACTAGGTGTCACTAGAATCACAGTTTTGGAAGACTTCTGGGGGAATTCTAGTGAAGTCTATTAGGG